CTCTTTCTCTGCTAAAGCAGCTACTTAAAGTATATGAAACCCTCAGGAAATTTGTTAAATGTGTAGAAGGCCCCATCCTCCTTAGGAGGAAATCTTACCTCTGGAGGAAGGGGATCTACGAATCTGAATTTTAAAGAAGTGCCTCAGGTGGTTCTTAGGCATGCCAATATTTGGGAATACTTCTTTCAGAAAGGGTCCTGACCCCTTCAGAGCATTCTCACCAAATGGGTTGAAACCTATTCATTCATCTCTCCTTCCATAAGCAACTGCTTAGTACAGTGGAGGATAGGCCGTTAGGAACAGAGGAACCAAAAAAAACATAATGTACAACTACTCACCGTGTGCCCCTGGGCATATTGTTTAACCCTCGCTTAGCCTCAACTTCTTCCTCAGCAGAATGGGGACAATAATATCCTTACTTTAAAAAATTTCTCCTAGGGATATTGCAAGGAGACAGCATGATGAGGACTGTAAACCATTCCTCACACGTGGGTTGTTTGGGTTAAAAATAAAGCACTAAAAGGGATATTGCCTGAAAGTTTGCATCTCCCTGGAAGAGTAACTATAAACCAGGCATAGTAATTATCTACTATTATGCAACAAGATACCCTCAACCTTAGCATCTCAGAATAACAAAATTTGTTATCTACCACTTCAGTGTTCTTGGGCTTCCCTTGTGACTCAGCTGGTAAAGAATCCACCTGCAATGCGGGAGACCTGGATTCAATCCCTGGGTTGGGAGGATCCTCTGGAGAAGGAAATGGCTACCCACTCTCTAGTATTCTTGCCTGAAGAATTCCATGGACAGAGGAGCCTGGCGGGCTACAGTCCATGGGTTTGCAAAGAGTTGGACATGACTGAGCGACTGACACTTCTATTGGAAGTAATATATCATCACTTCTTCCTTACATTATTGGTCACACAGACCAATTCTGGTACAGTTATGGGAGAGAACTACGTAAAAGTATGAATAGGGATTTCACACTCTGGTTCAGTGGCTAAGACTCGGTGCTCCTAGTGCAGAAGGCCTGGGTTCAGTCCCCAGTCAGGGGTCTAGATCCCTCATGCAGCAATTAAAAAAAAAAAAAAATCCAGAAAAACCCAGCATGCCCCAAGAAAGATCCAGTGCAGCCAAATAAATTAAAAAAAAAAAAGTGTGAATGACAGGAGACAAGATTATTGGAAGCCATCCTGGGGTTTTCAGTGAGACCAGGTCTGATGCTCAGTGTTATAGGTCTGATACTCAGTGTTATAGGTCTGGAGGTTCAATTTAGGAAGTGAATCAGAATTCATCGGGTTCAGGAGATGACTCACACAAATTAAATACACAAGAAGCATTATCGTGGTATCACTCTGTCTCTTTTCTAGAACTCCTTGGTTAAACTAGTTTTTCTTTTGAACACAAAAAAATGTGTTCTCACTTGAAAACCCATGACTGACTTTTCTTCTTATCACAGAATGCTCTTTGACTGGCTAGGTCTTTCTTGTGATTCATATCTTACTTCAAATATGTTCTCTTCCTTACCTGATCACACCATGTAAAAAAAAAAAAATGCCCCCTCTTATCTTTCACACTCTCCATCCCATTTATTTAATTCTCTCGCTCTCTTTTTGGCTGCATGCTTGACCTACAGGATCTTAGTTCACAATCAGGGATCGAACCTGTGCCCCCTGCATTGGGAGCATGGAGTCTAAATCACTGGACCACCAGTGAAGTCCCATCCCATTTATTTTCTGACAGCACTTCTGGCACTCTGAAATTATTTTGACTCTTTATTTACTTGGAGATTGTCTTCCCACTAGACTGTGAGCTTTGTTAGGGAGGCTGTTTTTTTTGTGTGTTGGTCTGTTTTGTCATTCCTGTATCTCCAGTGCCTAAAACAGTGCCTGGCACATGGTAGGCATTCAATAAAACCAGAATGCTGACTTGTTAATTCACATTAAGAAACAGATGTTATGTGAACTGGGCATTTTGTCTCACTTGATCAACACACTTTATCCCCATAGAAAATGATACAGGAAGTCAATTGTTGTAATCAGATGAGTCTTTGTTGAACATGGAGTCAGGCAAAGATGGAATTGGGCACCCAGTGTTTGGTGGCCAGTGTCTCTGAGGTCTTCCTTCCTGGCCCTTAGGCCAGGAGACTAGTAGCCTGCCAAGGAGACTAGTAGCCACAACACCCCTGTCTAGGTGGCACTGGAGAGATACACTCTTATCTCTTTTAGTATATTCCATGTGTACACCCTATGTAGGTAAATATTGTTTTATCAGATGCTAAATAAAGCAAAAAAGGCACAACTTTCTGCTTTTTTTAAAAAAACATTAATCTTCTCAAAGCCTAATCATCATAATATTGACCATAATAAGTGCCCAAATCACCAGCATTAACAGAGCATCTATTAGAGGATGTTTCTTCCAAAGAGGAAGAATTGTGCACCCTGTACTGGTTGTTACTGATCTCTTATTGGTAAATTATTTCCAAGTTTATTGGAAATAAACTTTATTGTTGACAGAACAGATTCACTTCACCCAAAAAAGTAATAAGAAACTAACTGAAAGGAAGTTGTATGAGTCTTCCCAGGCTTCCATAACAGGACACCACAGACTAAGTGGCTTAAAGAACAGAAATTTATTTTCTCACAGCTCTAGAAGTTGGAAGTTCAAGATCAGTCAGCTGGCAAGGCTGGTTTCTAGTGAGACCTCTTTCCCTGGCTTTCAGGTGTCTCTTTCTGACACTGGACCTAGTGGATTAGACCCCCACGTTTATGACATCATTTACCCTTAATTACCTTCTTAAAGGCTCTGTCTCCAAATATATTGGGTGTGAAGCCCTTCAACATAAATTTTACCCATGGTGGTGGGGGGAACAATGCATATAATTCAGTCCATAATGAGAGATCCTCTCCTCTCATGACTTTTTTTGTGGGAATGTGTGTTAAATTTTAGTTTTAAAATATTTTGGCTGAACCATGTGGTATGTGGGATCTTAGTTTCCCAGCCAACCAGGGATAGAACCGGTGTCTCCAGCAGTGGAAGCGTGGAGTCCCAACCACTGGACTGCCAGGGAACTACCTGGGAATATGTATTAATACAACCTTACTAAAGGGCAATTTGATATTGTCCACTGACATTTCAAATATATATACATATACATGGGGCTTCCCTGGTGGCTCAGACAGTAAAGAATCTGCCTGCAATGCAGACCTGGATTCCATCCCTGGGTCAGGAAGATCCCCTGTAGAAGGGAATGGCTACCCAGTCCAGTTTTCTTGCCTGAAGAATTCCATGGACAGAGGAGCCTGGCAGACTATAGTCTATGGGATCACAAAGAGTCAGACACCACTGAGCTACTAACACACATATACAGCCTTTAACTTAGCAAACTTCTTTCAAGGAAACTATTTCAGAGACAGAGTGTACAAAAATGCAAAAAATAAAAAAGGTGGGGGAAGAATTCCCCAGCAGTCCAGTGCAGCTTTTACTGCTAGGCTGGGTTCCATCCCTGGTCAGGGAACTAAGATACCTTGGCAAAAAAGAAGGAAAGATATATGTATAAGAATATTCACTGTAACTTAATTTGTAATAGTGAAAAACTAGGAATCACAAATAAAATTTAAATAATGATAATTATATTAAATTATATATTCATTTGCAGGCAGATTCTTTACCAGCTGAGCCACAAGGGAAGCCCATATATTCATTTAAATGATATATTCATTTAATGGAACTGGTACTCAGATCTCAGTAAATATTGGTTAATGAATTGATTAAAAATTGGAGAAATATATAACTGATTTTTGAAAATTATTTCTCCGTTTCCCATGTTTAGAAATCCTTAGGATCCCTCAGTTCCTTCTGGAACAAACTTTTCTTGTCTCCAGCCAGCCGCAGTGGGTTCACCTTTACAAACTCTGGGACTAGGACAGAAAGCAATGCTTGAATATGTCTTCACTACGACCTATACATTTTTATATACACAGAAAGTGTGGTTGAATATATCCCAAAGGTGACAAAGATTAAATCTGGGGATTGAAATTTGTATGCCAAGTATCTTACTTAAACAGTTTTGTATTTTGTACTCTTTGAAATGAATTTTAAACTTTTGTAATACAAATCTTAAAAAAGAAAAATAGGAAAACTATATGAAGGAGATTCTAAATGCCAAATGAGTAAATAATAGAGATAGTTATGGAGTGTAGAAATTCAGGGAGGGCTCGAGTTTGGCTGGGATGACCAAAAAGGCTTTCCAGGATGAAGTAGAGTATCAAAGATGTTTTGAGGCTCAAGTTTTCCACAGAGAAAAACAAAAGCAGGGGAACGCTTGTTGTCTTTGGAGGATAACAAGATGATGTGCAATAGCAGGCACTAAATTTGGCAATGAGGCGCCAGCGTAGGTCTCTGAGTAGCTCAGAGCCGACGCCGATAATGTGCTGTTTTAAGATTAAACTTGTGCCTGGCGTGCTGCAGTCCATGGGGTTGCAGACTCGGAAAAGACTGGGCAACTGAACAAGATTAAATTTAAAATTACCCTGCCGCAGTGTAGCAGGTGAGATTTAGCTCTTGGAGTGAGGGTGCCCACGAGGGGGTGCTATTTCAAAACACAGGCCCACTTGGACTAAGGCAAAAGGAACAAGCAGCAGGTAAAACGTCAGACAAAGAGGGCGCTCCGACAGTTGGGCAGATTAAGAAAATAAAAAGATAAGCAAAAAGTAAATATCTCCTTCGCGCTCCGCAACTAGGTCCTCAAGCGCCAACACAAAGTCGTGCATTACAGAATGCCTGTACCACGTGCCCCTCAGGCGCTGCTGAATGCGACTACTACTCCCAGGCTCCCTCGCGAGGCCAGCGCCGTCTTCCCGCGTGCAAGTGGATATTACCGCTCAGTCTTCTGGGATCCGTAGTCTTGCAGGGTCTCTCGGGAGTTGTAGTTCCCTCCCCACAATCGGCTGGGCGAGGCGGCGCCGGCGATTAGAGCTGCGCTGGGTGTTCAGGGGCCAAGATGGCGGCGCGCCGGGGACGGAGAGACGGAATCGCGCCGCCTGCGAGTGGGGGCTTCGGCCCCGACCCTGGCGGTGGAGTGCGCAGCAGCGGTTGGGGGAGTCGGAGCCAAGCACCATATGGTACCGTGGGCGCTGTGAGTGGCGGGGAGCAGGTGAGAGACTAGCGGGCGGCCCGCGGCTGGCTGCAAAGCGGCGTGTGCCGGGCGGTGACACGTGGACGCCACAGGAAAGGGAAGAAGCGTTCGGGAGTCGATGCCGGGTAGCTGCGCGAGACGGGTTGGACCGAGCGGGTCTGGGTCGTTTGCTGGGGGATATGCGGGTAGAAGCAGGGTCCTTATGACCATTGCTCCGGAACGCTGGAGGGGCAGAGCCGGGTGTCGGAAACCTGGCGCATGTGTGTGGGGGTGATCAGGCTTTCAGACTTAGAGTAATAGAGTAAGACCTTCCTCTAAGGATGCTGAGTGTGTGTTTGTGTGTGGGGGGGTGCCTCTAGCCCCTCGCCGCAGTGCCTTTTCGGAGCCACGTGGGGTGGGGGGGAGCGATTTTCCCGGGAGAACTTGTCTGCTTCCCCTCCCCCTCTAGGCGGCCCCGGCACCCACGTGGGTTGGGCCGGGGGCGGGGGGGCCACGGGTCCACGTGGGGGCGGGGAAGGGATGTCCACGTGGCTCCCGCTCCAGGCTACCCGGCACCTCGTTTCGGCGCTGGAGCCGCACTGCCGGGAACTGGGTGTGTCTCAGCCGGTCCCGCCATCTCCGATCGGCGCTGGGGGCCCCTGACTGGGAAGGAAGGTTGGGGCTGCTGGAATCAACTTTGCTCAGAACCTTGAAGGAGTTTTTTCCTTCTGCTTTGGCCCGCTTCGCCTCTCTACGATGGATGGTGAAGGACTTTCCAGATGTGCGTGTAGTCCTGCTGATGGCGGAGTGTGTTGGGAAGGGTAGAGGGCTGAGGTTGAAGGGCTGTGGAGTGAGCTAGTGGCGGCTTCTGTCCGACCGGCTTTGGGTGGCTTATGAGTCACAGGCGCTGGCGTTTTGCTTGCTTGTAGTCCTGCCTCCTAATTCAAGGAGTATGGGAGGTATCAACATTTACATGGGGCAGGCTTAGGTAAAGGGAATCCTCTCTTCTTGCTTTTCCTCCAGCATCTCTGGAGAAGGCAGCTAAGGCCTGTTCCTGTGAATTGATACATAAATTGAGATGGTTTGTGTTTAAGCTTTTCTGGAATTTTTGCTGGGGATGACAAAAGTTGGAGGCGATTTGAGAACTATTCAACACTAGTTGAACGTTTATTGTGTGAGGGGGAAATTCTGTCATAATCTTTTTTTCTTGGTCTTCAGTTCTTCTTACTTTTAAGTGTTATCGTCCCACTCCTCAACAGGGCTTCTTAAAAGTTCCCACCCAGAGTGGAGGTGGGCAAGACTTAGTTTGGACTGTTATCTCTCTCAAGCAATTAAGCTGAGTCCTTGAAAGCCTTTTTTTTTTTTTTTGTTTCTAGGTGGGAGTTGGAAGATGGCTTCTGGGGCTCTAACTTGGGAGCTGCCCACCCTGTCTTCTCTTACTTTCTCAGAGGGCACATGGTGTGGGGCTGGTGCTGCCCATCCCACTCCTTTCGGGGTGAGGCAGGAAGGATCCATGATCCAACTGTAATCCAAGTTAGGTGGTCGTTTGGAATTGGAGAAGGTCTCATGGAGAGATTGTTTACCACAAATACACATAGAGATGAGTATGTGGAAGCTAGTCCAGTTAGCTAGGTATTGAGATTCCATTATGTTCAGATATAGGGGATGTTATGGTAAATCACACATGGCCCCTGTCCTCCAGGATCTTATGTGTTTATCACGGTAGACAGTAAATGATGATGAGTGAGACAAAAGGAAAGTGCAGCATATTATATAATCAGCAGTAGTAATTTACCTTGCAGGGTTTGGGAAGAGACATTTTAAAGTGAGACTGTGGGGGAGGGGGAAGGAGGAGCTTTCCTCAGAGGGAATACTGGGTGAAAGCCTTGAGGTGGGAGAGAACATGGCTTATTGGAGAAACCTGTATGGCTGGTGGGGCCAGAGAGAGTGGTGAGAGAAGACACCCTGGAGGAGTCTGGTGGGGGATACCAGGACCACTGTAATCCATTTAAGGACTTAAACCTAATGCTGAGAGCAGGAAAATACCCTTGGAGGGGATTAGGGAGGGTCTCAAGAGGTGATCAAATGTGTATTTTCAAGTTTGTAGCTGATTTTGAACCCTGCAGGGACAGGCTGACTGTGGGAAAACCAGTTGAGGGGGTTATTAAAGTTAGAGATGCTGGTGGCTAACACTCTTAGCCTGGGCGTTATTAACCCCTCCATGATCCTTGGTACTCTGGGAGCTGTGCTGTTTGGGGGTTGGGATGGATGAGGTCAGATGAAGACGGGGTTCTCTGACTGGGTTTCCAGTACCTGTCAGATGGAAGTGGTGATGAGTGGTTCATAAAGCTGAGGCATCGTCTTGGGATTCTAGCCTAATGGCTGGATCAGGTAGGTGGTAAGGCAAGTTGAGGTGCAGGCTTTTTGCTCACCTAGGAGTGTTTGCTGAGGCAGGTGCTATTCAGGTGCCATTTGTAATTATAGGATTGTGAAGGCCTGGGAGGAGTGAGTGCCTAAAACCTGCCACCTTTCTCTTCATCTTTAGGAGGCTTGGCCTCCTTAAGTGTCCCTAGGTATCCTCTCCTCTCACTGGGCATTGTAACTCTTTGGCTTGGTTGGGAAGGTAGGGAGGGTGCAATCACACCTGTTGGTTTTTTCTTTTGGAAGAGGTACAGAGTTTCCCTTTGCTGCCAGAGGAGAGGGGAGACTGGCTTGTCCATGTTTGTTCCTCTTCTCCAGCCTTTGCATCATCTGTAGTTTCTTGTAGGGGAGATTCCTCTACCTCTGGCCTCCCCAGCCCTTCCAGGCACTTCTAGCCCTGCCCACACCCACACTCTTTGACAGGCCTGGGCGGGCGTCTCCCTGCCTGACAAGGCTGAAGATGTTGCTCCTCCTTCTCAGGGAAGAGATGGGGTGGGGCTTGCCCATCCACAGAATCAAGCTTTCTCTTTTTTTGCTCTGACTGGGCAGGGAAGAGACTTTTCCCTTGCAACTACTTTTGAGAGGTTGGGTGGCACACTATAGTTCCTTCAGCACAGAAGCTGGAAATAAATGTGACTGTCACTCATGGTGGTTGAGATTGGGATTTGAGCCAAGCAGAGAACACAGGCATAAGGGGGATTTGAGGGTTGTCGCTGGAATCGCTGGCTTGCTGACCTCCTGTCCTTTGGCGTGTTCCTCGGAATGTCTGTCTTCATCACTGCTGGCAGATGACTCTTCCGAACAATCTTGGTCTTTTTGATGTTTTCACTCCCCAATTTATCAGTTTCGTGGGCTCCGAGTATTTCTAGACGGAATCTAAACTTTTTTTTTGCCCAGCAAGTCCAGAGGCATGGCTGTAGTGGGGCTCCTGCTGAGTCCGAGGCCACTGGTGGAGGGCTGGGCACCTGGCTTACAGAGTGTGTCAATAGCTGCCCAGAGGCTTTTCTAACCTTATCCTCTTTTGCCCCAGGCGCTGCTGCACGAGGAGGGCGATGATTCCGGCTTCGTCAGTCTGTCTCGGCTGGGCCCCTGTTTGAGGGACAAGGACCTGGAGATGGAGGAGCTGATACTGCAGGATGGGGCGCTGCTGGGGACCATGCACAGCTATATGGATGCCTCCCTCATCTCCCTCATTGAAGATTTTGGTAGCCTTGGAGAGGTGAGCTGGGGCTGGGCTTAGAAGTCTTTAAGCAGGAATTTTGGCTATGACTTTCAGAACCTTGGTTCCCGAATGGTCAACCTGAGTCTTTGAAGTGTGTTTTTATTTTTAATTTAGACTTGGGCTGTGTCCCATGTAAAAGTATGCCCTGGCAGACTTGACATAGTCCACAGCCTTTCTCCCTGCCTGGGCCCCTGACTTACATGTCCAGAGGGTTCTAATCTCTGTCTTGAGTCCAGTTCCAGCTTATCCAAGGGCTGTCTGCTGAGCATCCCACATCTTAGCTGAGGGTGGAGAGAGTATGAAACACAAACTCAAGACTCAATTTTGACAGGTCTTTGTTGATACTAGAGAGGTGGTGGATGGTAGTAAATGAGATTGGAACCCATGCCCCCTGGTACTCGTGTCTCTTTCTGGCACATTGAGCTGAACTGAGCCCAGGAGCGGGATTCTCCTGGCATCTAGTCCTTCTCAGTGGCCTGGCTGGGATAGTGGTGGTACCTCCCTGTTGTCTTTCCTGAACAGAGCAGATTATCTCTGGAGGACCAGAATGAAGTGTCACTGCTCACAGCTCTGACGGAGATCTTGGACAATGCAGATTCTGAGAACCTATCTCCGTTTGACAGCATTCCTGACTCAGAGCTGCTCGTGTCACCTCGGGAGGGCTCCTCTGTAAGTGTGGGACTCGGGGAAGAGGTGTGTGGTTGGTGCAAAGGTTAGAACCACATCCGTGGGCCTACTCATAAAGTTCTGAAACACAAACTCATCTTAGGTCTTTTTCTCCCTTTTAGCTGCACAGGTTGCTCAACCTCTCTCGGACACCCCCAGAACGTGACCTCATCACCCCAACTGACCCACTGGGACCCAGTACAGGCAGTAGTAGAGTAAGTGGGGTAGCCTGCCCTAGGGAGCCTCATAGACTCCCAAGGGGGAGGAATATGTGGGGACAGGCCTGGAAAAATATATTCCTGGAGAAAACGCCTATGTCTTGATTTCTATCCTGTAGGTTGAGATGGCGCTCACGGATCCCCCTTGGGACTTCTCTCCACCTTCCTTCTTGGAGACCTCCTCTCCTAAGCTTCCTAGTTGGAGACCCCCAAGATCAAGACCCCGCTGGGGCCAGTCCCCTCCTCCCCAGCAGCGTAGTGATGGGGAGGAAGAGGAGGAGTTGGCTGGCTTCAGCAGTGAGATGCTTGCTGGGGAGCTCAACAACTCTGTGAGCAGCATCCCAGACTTCCCCATGCACCTAGCCTGTCCTGAGGAGGAAGACAAAACAGCGGCGGCAGCAGAGATGGCAGTGCAGGCAGCTGGAGACGAGAGCATCTCCTCCTTGAGTGAGCTGGTGCGGGCCATGCACCCGTACTGCCTGCCCAACCTCACCCACCTGACGGCTCTTGAGGATGAGCTTCAGGAGCAGCCGGATGACTTGACACTGCCTGAGGATTGTGTGGTGCTAGAGATTGTGGGTCAGGCGGCCACAGCTGGCAATGACCTGGAGATCCCAGTTGTGGTGCGACAGATCCCTGCTGGTCCCCAGCCTGTGCTCCTGGATGACACGCTAGAGGTCAGTCCGGCCTTGCAGCTGCTCATGCCACCACTAGAGGTGGAGACAGAGGCTGCTGTTCCCAAGGAAACCCTCTGCCCTGTGGATGAGGGCTTGTCACTGGACTCAAAGGAAAAGTTGGAGTCAGCCTCCATGTTGGAGCCCAGGGAGGTCATGGAGCCTGTGGCGCCCAAGGGGCCTCAGAATCCACCAGCCAATGCAATGCTAAGTTCCCAGAGGGCTCGAAAGGGCAGGAGGAAAAAGAGCAAGGAGCAGCCAGCTGCCTGTGCAGAGGGCTACACCAGGAGGCTGAGGTCGGCCTCTCGTGGGCAGTCTACAGCTGTTCCAGAGGTGACCTCTCAGGGAGGCAACCTGCCTCAGGAGGACCTGCAAAGAGAGGTGGGCCCCCCCCATGGTAGAGGGAAGCCCCGGGCCTGGGCTCGGGCCTGGGCAGCTGCCTTGGAGAAGCCTAGCTCTGTGAACGTGGAGAGCAGTACTGAACAAGCTAGTCCTGCTGAAGAAGGTCCTGGAGACCTCTGCCCCAGCCTGGTTGACCCTATCCAAGCCAACCCTGTTTCAGCGCATCTCTCCCTGGTTGACTCTGCTCAAGCTGACCCCATGCCACTTGACTCTGCTGAAGCTGATTCCACTGCAGTTGACCCTGGTCCCACTGCGACTGACACTGAACCTGCTGACCCTGTGCTAACTAACCTTGCTTCAGCAAACTCAGAGCTGGTTGACCCTCTCCCAGCTGACCCAGTCCTGGCTGACTCAGCAGCAGCTGACCCTGCAGCAGTTGTTCCCATCTCAGACGACTTGCCTCCAGTTGACCCTGTCCTGGTCAAGTCAGTACAAGTTGACTCTGTTCCCAATGACCTGTCTCCAGCTGACCCGGTACTAGTTAAGTCTAGGCCAACTGATCCCAGACGTGGTGCAGTATCATCAGCCCAGAGGAATCCAGCCGCCCAGCTCCTGCTGGAATCAGAGTCCTCAGAGCCCTCAAAGGCCAACAGTCCTGAAGTCAGGGAGGTTGTAGGTCCTCTGAAGGGGGAAACTGGTACCAGTACCACAACCCAGGAAGCCAGGCCGCGGCCTCTTAGCCTATCTGAGTATCGGCGACGAAGGCAGCAGCGCCAGCCAGAGGCCGAAGAGAGGACCCCCCAGCCTCCAGCTGGGAAGTGGCCCAGCCTCCCAGAAACTCCCACAGGACTGGCAGACATCCCTTGTCTTGTCATCCCTCCAACCCCAGCCAAGAAGACAGCTCCGCAGAGAAGCCCTGAGGCTCCTCCTGAGGCTTGCTTTGGGTCTGTGGGCCCCAGCCCTGCCTCTCCTAGTCCTGAGCCACCTGTGAGCAAACCTATGGCCTCACCTCCTACTGAGCAGGTGCCATCCCAAGAGAAACTGCTGCCGGCAAGACCGCCACCTCCTGCTATGCAACCCATGCCCCCCACAATGCCCACTGCTCTGCCTTTTCCCACGGGTGGGCTGGGCATGACTGCTGTGCTCCCCCTTCCCACAAATGGGCAAGCTGTCCCCAGTCTGCCCCCACCACCCCTGCAGCCTCCTAGTGTTCCGATGTCTATGGGGCCAGTGCCACCTGACCCCTATACTCACTATGCCCCTGTGCCACCCTGGCCTTGTTATCCTCCCGTGTCCCCTTCTGGCTATCCTTGCCTGCCCCCCCCACCAGCGGTGCCCCTAGTGTCTGGTACTCCAGGTGCCTATGCTGTGCCCCCCACTTGCAGTGTGCCTTGGGTACCTCCTCCTGCCCCAGTCCCACCTTATAATTCCAACTGTACCTATGGGCCCTTGGGATGGGGCCCAGGGCTGCAACACCCTCCGTTTTGGCCTGCTGTTCCTCCACCTCCTTTGCCTCTAACCTCAGTTGGAAGAGCTGTCCCCCCACCCAAGGTGGAGCCTGGTAGCATCCCAGCTGGCCCTCCTGAAAGTGTGCCAGCCGTGCCAATGGCTTCTCCCCTCAGTCTTGGGGTGGCTGGCCACGGAGCGCCACAGACAGAGCCCACCAAGGTGGAGGTCAAGCCAGTGCCCGCATCTCCCCATCTGAAACACAAGGCGTCCTCCCCGGTGCACAGCCCTCGGGTCAAGGCTCCACCGTGTGTGTCTGCTGAGAATGTGGTTGTTGAGGAGCCTGCATCAGAGAGGCTAAAGCCTGAGCCGCAGGAGACTAGGCCCAGGGAGAAACCACCCTCTCCTGTTGCCAAGGCTGTTCCCACACCAACACCAAGGCAGAGCGCTACCACCAAACTGCCTACTGTCCACCCAGCCCGTCTAAGGAAACTGTCCTTTCTACCTACCCCACGAACCCAGGGTCCTGAGGACGTGGTGCAGGCTTTCATCAGTGAGATTGGTGAGTGCCACACAGTTCAGTTGGTGTGAAGAATGGTGTGGGAATTGTGTGAGGAGTGTCCTCCATAAAACAGGATAAGCCACCTTGATGGGGCTGGCCTTTGTTAGAATTCTTGAGAGAGAGAAGTCTGGTTGGTTTGATTCTCTTTCTCAGGGAGTGTTGCTCCCCTGGTTTACTTACCACAGTGGGCAGGGGGCGCATAAGGAGAGAAGCGAGGTGGTTTGGAACTTCTGGGACTTGTGTGCTTAGTGAATAGGGGCAGGTTTCCAATCCTGTGTTGTGTGCTTCTGCAGGAATTGAGGCGTCGGACCTGTCCAGTCTGCTGGAGCAATTTGAGAAATCAGAAGGTGAGGAAACCCTTTCTGTTGATGTTTCTTTTGGGCCCAGCCCTGAGGTTGCTTAAACTGGGAGGAGGGAGAAGGGGAGTCTGCCACTAGAGTGGCCCCCTAATTGGAATGGGAAGACAATCCCATTGATGCAATCCAAGCCAGGGAGAGGGTACAGCATGACAAGAACTATAAAGAGTGGATGGATGGGGAGATCCAAGTGAACTGGGGACGTATTTCTAGAGGAAGTGGTTCTCCAGCTGAGCCTTGGAAGACAGGAATTCAGAGAGCCTGTGTGTGGTGAATAAAGGCAGAGGTGCAGGCAAGGTCACATATGGTGTATTTGAAAGGCAATGGCTAAAAAAAAGCAACGGCTAATTCAGCTTCTCAGAACAAGGTGTGGATCTAGGTGCTGCAGAGGATGCTATGTCGTGTTCTCAAGGAGCTTATGATCTAACTGGGAAGAGGAATCTGCAAAAATGACTCCTGAATTGACAATAGGTATCTGTAGTAGAAGGCAAAGTACAAGCGTAGATCAAGAGTAGCTTATAAAACAAAACAAAACAAAAAAGAGTAGCTTATAAGACTAGCAAGTCAGTCAGGTGGATTATATAGAACCTGGAATGCTAGGCTTAGGAGTTGGGACTCGGTCTTAGATTCAGTGTAGTGTGTGCTTGTTTTTAAGCAGAAGAGATATAATTAAAAATAGTTCTTGGGTACCCACTGGAAGAGAATGGATTTCTTTGGGGAGACCCCAGTGGAGTATGTAGGCAAAATGGATTTTCTTCCTTTGCGTCTTAAAGCCAGCGTTTCTCCGCCGCCTCAGTATGGAACGTCTGGTTGGGCTTTTAACTAGTATGGTTTCTTTGCAGCCAAAAAGGAGTGCCCTCCCCCGGCTCCTGCTGACAGCCTGGCTGTAGGAAACTCAGGGTAAGTATGGGGACATGAGTGAGTTACCCTACAGCTGTTGGTCAGCAGCCGGCCGGCGCTCCAGGACTGTCAACTGGATGCCTCTGTTAACGGGGACATTTAGTCAACTCTAAAGTCTTTCCCTGTTCCCCACCCCCGGCTCAGCCCATCATTGCTGGGCATTGTCTTGGGTGATACATAGGAGGATATATACGAACCATCCTCTGGCTGATTCCAGTTTGGGGTTTCAAATGGTGATGCCTTTTATGTTCTGGCGAGTTGTGTTTTGGTGGGTTTCTTTCCTTTATTTAACAGGCTTTAAGGTTGCTCAACACTGCTGATGGTGTAGAAAAAAAAAATGGGGGAGGATGTTCATGGCTAGGGCTCCCTGACTCCTTGGAGGACACGGGCATCCTGGACCTCCTTGTTCCCCATTCATCCAGTACCAAGAGGCCTTTTTTTTGTTTCATATTCATGATACCCCATCCTCTTCTGCCAAGCATATTTTCCTCCACATTGATTTTGGGTTGGTTTGAGCTGGGCATAAGAGGCTCCCGGCTTGGAGGAGGTGGGGGGTATCAAGGTCATAGTCAGCCTGCCTCCAGAAATTGGACAGAGCTGAGACCCAACTTACATAAAGTCCAGTCACTAAGACCCTTTCTGTGCTGGAGGAGAATGATTGGGACAGTTTGTGGCCCCCATTCCTCTCTGCACGTACCCCTTTCCTGTTGCTTCATGAGGAAAGCAGATGTTGAGGAGGCAATGAACCAGGCTTTCCCTTTTCCCCCGCCAGCAGCGTTGACACTCCCCAGGAGAAGAGGCCCCTAGACCGGTTACAAGCCCCAGAACTGGCCAACGTGGCAGGTGGGTTCAGGGTGGGGAACTCTGCCTTTGATTAGTTTATGCAGCAAATGTTTGTAGAGCCCGCTCTGCACCAAGTGTGTGTAGGTGTTGGGGATACGGAAATCTGATCATCATCCTTGAGGTTCTCACAATCCAGGGGACAGATGTGTAAACAGATGATCACGTTAAGTATCAGAGGTTGTGTGTCAAAGAAACCTGTTTGGTTTATAGTGGGGTCTGAAGAGGGACTGTCAGAACAGGATTATATAGAAAGTAACCCTCAAATCGGAGGCTTGAGAAAATCACTGATACCAGGGGCGTTTGAGGTGGTTGGAACAGCTTGCGTGAACTGAAGAAACAGCCAGCCTGGTATTGGTGTGTTTTGAGAAATGGTGAGTGGTTCGTTTTGGCTGGAGTGTAGTGCTGATCAGGGTGGTGGGCAGAGCTCACAAGAGAGAAAGCTGGAGTGTTGAGGAGGAGGCCAGGTTATGGGAACTTGGCCATGTTAAGCTGGTTGGACTTTATATTGTATGTTGAAGAAGCAATTGAAAAAACCTTACCAGTTTGGTTTTAGAGTGCTTCCTCCAGTGGGAATGTAGAAGACAGGTGGACGAGTGTGATGCCCGAGGTAGGAGATTATTAGATGATTATGTGAGTTCAGGGAAGATGCAGCCCGGAAGTCAGTCAGTGCCGGGAGCAGGGGGTGAGTCTTAAGAATGAAGAGGTAGAAAAGACAGGACTTGGCCACCAGCTGGGTTTGGGCAATGAGAGGTTCAGGAGGACTCTAGGCAGTTGGGTTTCTGTTGCTGGTCTCCAAGATGGGGAGCTCATGGGAAGGAGCATTTGTAACAGTGGGACAAGTTGGGCTGCTGATCAGTGTTAGTACACTTTGTGAAATGAAGCGGGGGTCTCTGGAGCCTGTATACACAGTGTTCAGAAGTGTAGAATCGGATCTCATCCTGCTATCTCCATCCTCCCTCCCCTCACAGGGCTCACCCCTCCAGCTACCCCTCCCCATCAGTTATGGAAGCCCCTGGCTGCTGTCTCTCTGCTGGCCAAAGCCAAATCTCCTAAGTCCACCGCCCAGGAGGGAACCCTGAAGCCTGAAGGAGTTACGGAGGCCAAACATCCAGCTGCAGCCCGCCTCCACGGAGGGGTCCATGGCCCTAGTCCAGTCCATGTGGGCTCTGGGGACCATGACTATTGTGTTCGGAGCAGGACCCCCCCAAAAAAGACGCCTGCCCTAGTCATTCCAGAGGTGGGCTCCCGATGGAACGTCAAACGCCATCAGGATATCACCATCAAGCCCGTCTTGTCCCTGGGCCCAGCCACCTCTGTGCCTCCAGGCACAGCTGCCTCCCAGAAGCCACTTGATCACAGGACTAGCAAAGAGCAGGCAGATCCCCAAACTCCTTGCCTTGCCCCGTCTGCCTTGCTTTCCCCTGAGGCCTCACCCTGCCGGAATGACACGAACACTAGGACTCTCCCTGACCCCTCAGCTAAGCAGCAGTCACTGCGCTGTTACCGAAAAGCCTGCAGGTCAGCCAGCCCCTCAAGCCGGGGCTGGCAAGGCCTCCGTGGCCGCAGCAGCCGTTCTGTCAGCTCTGGGTCCACCCGGACCAGCGAAGCATCTTCCTCCTCATCCTCATCGTCGTCTTCCTCATCCCGGTCCCGGTCCCGGTCCCGGTCCCTCTCCCCCCCACACAAGAGGTGGCGAAGGTGAGCTCTGATGGCCTGTTAGGTTCTCTCTCCGCCTTGGAAGTTCTTACTCTGAAAGCTTTTGCACATTGAGTTTGATGAACTTTCAGGCACTAAGGCTTTTCTCTCTGTCTTTGGCTTTTGTCTTCTTCCCTTTTCCTGGATTTGAAGGAGGCAAGCTGTGAAAAGATAGCTTCTGTCCCCTGTTGGAGATTGGGATATCTCTGAGATCTCCTGCTTCCTAGAGACCTGCCTTGGGAGAGACCGTTAGGGTTTGGTTTTGACCATGTTGATTGCTTTGCACTGTATCAGTCCTATTTCTTATATTTTTCCGGTAGATGTGGGATGGTGGGCTAGTGGGTTATTAATGGCAAACAATCCTTCCTTTAATCATCTGTTGAGGAAAGAGTCTGGTGTCCTTTGGGTGTCACTGTGGCCTCATCTACTTTTTAGGAGTACCTTTTTCTGTATAATAGACCCAAATTTTTCTACTTCATCAGTGAAGAATTCTTGGTTTTTGATGGTGAAGCTTATCTTCAGGTATGCCATCTACTACAGGTCTAGCACAGTCACCTCCCCTTAATGCCATAATCATAGCACTCCTGTGAGACATGAGGGGAGCAGGATTCCAGAGACATGGGCTTGCCTGCCCTCCCACCTCTCCCTTACACCGCCCCCCTCACACCGGCTAGTTGTAATACCTGGGGCCCAGCCCTTTATCTCTGAGTCTCTATTATTTTTATTCTTTCTGACTTGTTAGATATTCTTCTATTTTTAAGTGCATAATTGACAGTAAATAAGATTAGTGCCCAGATACTCTAGAACATGTCGAGTTCACAAGGTTCTCAGTTCGCTCTTCTTCTGCACCTCCTTTGCTTTTCTCTGCCTTTGGTCCTGAGCTTCCTGACAGGGAGGCAGGGCTGGGGCCAAGGTGAGGTAAGTGGATGATACCTGCACTCCTCCTATCATTTCTGTGTGATCTTTTGTTCTCTAGGTCCAGTTGTAGTTCCTCTGGACGTTCCCGAAGATGCTCTTCCTCTTCCTCCTCCTCATCTTCCTCCTCATCTTCCTCCTCATCATCTAGTTCCCGAAGCCGGTCCCGCTCTCCATCTCCTCGCCGGAGAAGTGACAGGAGGCGGCGGTGAGCATGTTTTCAGGGAGTTGGTGCATCTGGGGTGCAAGAGCCTAAGAGTTCTGAGATTTGAGCTGTCTAATGTCTGGGGGGCTGACAGCACCTTTTTCTCTTGGCAGGTACAGTTCTTATCGTTCACACGACCATTACCAAAGGCAGAGAGTTCTGCAGAAGGAGCGTGCAATAGTGAGTAGAGGAACAGGTCCTAGGAGGATAGGGCTTGTCCCTGAGCCATGACATGAGCTCACAGAGCCATCTGCAGCTATGGCCTTGGCTCATGGTGTGTCAATTTTCCTTGATCCAACATAGGAAGAAAGAAGAGTGGTCTTCATTGGGAAGATACCTGGCCGCATGACTCGGTCAGAGCTGAAACAGAGGTTCTCTGTTTTTGGGGAGATTGAGGAGTGCACCATCCACTTCCGTGTCCAAGGGTGAGGTTGGGCCCTACGGTCAGGATGTCCTTCCTGTCGCATTATCTGTCTCAATGCTTTGTCTTTCCTGATTGCTCTGGTGTGCTGGGCAGCGTAGGACACCTTCAACTCTACAGTCAGGGGGTTGGCCATTTGGGGCATGAGAAGAACCTCTCCAGTCCCTGTGCCCTGGGGAGCTGTCTCTTCTCCATGGCATGTGCTCAAAGAGCCATCTCAGCCTCTGTCTCATCCTCCCCTCCAGTGACAACTATGGCTTCGTCACTTACCGCTATGCCGAGGAGGCATTTGCAGCCATCGAGAGTGGCCACAAGCTGAGGCAGGCAGATGAACAGCCCTTTGATCTCTGCTTTGGGGGCCGCAGGCAGTTCTGCAAGAGAAGCTATTCTGATCTTGGTGAGTGGAGGGAGGCTCTGAGCCTTTGGTATACTCCACCTCCTCCCTGAAAGAGTCCCCAGCCTTTTGAGAGAGGGGTTAACAAGGCAGACTTGTCTTCCTCTGACACGTGAAGGGCTTAAAGGGTGGGGTGAGAGGAGAAATGGGGGCTCTCCTGTCTTTTGACTTAAAATTCAGGAGATTTTAGCTCCATCCATTATAGATATGAGAGGTAGCTGGCCATTTGAGGACCCTGTGGTTGGGAGGTGTACTCAAAGAGACCTTGATGTTTGTCTCTCTCTACCTTTGTAGACTCCAACCGGGAAGACTTTGACCCTGCTCCTGTAAAGAGCAAATTTGATTCTCTTGACTTTGACACATTGTTGAAACAGGCCCAGAAGAACCTCAGGAGGTAACCCTGGGCCCTTCTCCCCCATCCCCTTTTCTTTGGAGGTGCCCAACCTCCTCCATTCCCCTCCCCCAGTCTAGGGGAGAGAGCTGCTAGTGAGGAGATGACTGTTTTATAAAGAAATGGAAAAAAGTGAAATAAAAATGTAATACATCAGATTTTAAGTGGTATTTGTTTTTTATAATAGGCTTTGAAACACATTAACTTGCATTTCTATGTAAGATGGATGGGGTTGAGGGGTTCCCCCAGTGTTTGGAAAATATAAATCACTATGCAGACTAATAAACATGAACTAGAGAGAACTGCCAAGTGCTGTTGTGCTTTTTTCTATGGTGCTGGTGCCAGAGAAGTCAGTTTTCCTCTCTGAACCCAACAGGGACATTCCTACTTTCATTTGATTCCTAGGACCCTTCTTCGGTTAGGTGCAGAATCCTATTGGACTTGAAACTGCTCTTCAAGAGTCGTGTCAGTGAGATCAGTCATCTAGGGCAGTGCTTCTCAGACTTTGAAAGGGTAGCTAAATCTGGAGATTTTTTAAAAATGAGGATTCTGAATTATGGGGTGGGCCTTGAGAGTCTGCATTTCCAACAAGCGTGGTGCTGTTGGTCTAGGAAGGAATTTGAATATCAGGGACCCAGAGGAAGTTCACACTTGTTGTAAATGTTTTTGAAACTGAGGCTTGTGTGTACCATAGCTTGAGCACAATGCTTGGCATTCAGCAAGTGCTCAGATGTTTAAAGAATGCATGCAGGTGAATAGACCTTTGGGAAAGAGGGACATGTAGGAATTATACCAAGGACAGGGGAATGCCTATTTTGAGAAAGGCAAATAAGTGGGTCCCTCCCTAAGGGGCATGAAGGAGAAATAGTCTAGGGGTAGTAGATAGGATTGTAGGGATTGCTATCTGCTAATGTGAACTGAAATATGAAGAACTTGAAATTAACTTGATAGGCCTGGGCATTGATTGATAAATTTGAGTACTCATGACAAAGAGAGGCAGTTGAAGGGTTTTCCGGTTCTTCCACAGGGAGGATTCATAGTGTGGACTACCCAGGAGGTAGAAGGGTTATTTTCAGGATTATCCGTTTGAAGAGATCGCTTCTGTCGCTCGGGTTTATTGCACATTCCCTTTTTCCCTTCACGAAGCTGACCTGAAGCTGTGTAAATAAGGAAGGGAAGAGTTGTTTCATGGGCAAGTCAAGATTGAGGTGGGGACAGTTCTGAAGATCAACACCTCACCACTACCACAGATAACCTGAAGGGCCCTCCGTAATGGAGTTGGGAGTGCAGAGGTTAGGGTGGTATTTTGAGAAAGGGCCTTCCAGGGTGTTGAAAGTGAAGATGGAGAAGAGTGGGAATCCACTGGCAGCGCGAATAGGGGACGGTGGGATATGTGACCAAGTTTAGAAAATTCAAGGTCAGCTCAGGCCCGCCGACCCACGCCTTACTCTGATATCTGAATGCCAGGGCCGCGGGTAACCGCTGCACTGAGAAAGGTGGCTCCAGCAGGAAGGCAAGACGCGGGAAGTCCGAAGCTTTCCCGCCGCCACCAAGGGCGTGACCTCTGACGTCAGGGCTCCGCCTTCACAAAGCAGAACGGTGGGCTCCGCCCTTCCAAGATGGCGATACTCGTGGGACCGGAAAGCGTTCATGGATTTCGCCCTTACCATGTCTCCGAGAGTACGCCCGCCCCTTCCGGCGTGCCCCGCGCGGCGCGAGGGCGTTGCACGGGTCCTCCCCTAGCCCGCCTCTTCCGGTTTCTTGAGTCCTGTGCGTCCGCGACGGTAGTGACGCGTATTATCGGGAGGATGGCGGACGCCGGCTTACGCCGCGTGGTTCCCAGCGACCTGTATCCCCTCGTGCTCGGCTTTCTGCGAGATAACCAGCTCTCGAGCGTGGCCAATAAATTCGTCAAGGCAACAGGCGCTGTGAGTCCGGGGCTTGGATCATGGGCTGGGGTGTGATCACCACAGGGCTGCGGACCCTGACATGCTTAGGTCTTCAGGTAGGGAGGTCTGCGGGGTCCGCCAGACTAATGACTGCCAGGTCTTTGTGCCGAGCTCTCGGCGGTTGGCGGAAGCCAGCCTCGCTTCATGAGGTCTGACTACTTAGCCCCGAGTCTTGCTTTTTTCTGATGAGAGGTGAGGCGGTGGCAGCGTGGGATCCTCGTGGCCTAGGTCACGTGGCTAGCAGAGTGCGACAGGGCGGGAGCGCCTTGTCCCACCGGAGGCATTAGAGGCTCCTGGTACCTTCATTGGGCTTTTATGTTGGCTAGTGCCAAGCGCGACTTGAATTTTAACTCTCAAACGGATTTACCCAGGACTCAAGTAGAATTGCTTTCGAAATAATGAAAGCGGAAAAAAAGTGAAAGTGTTAGTCGCTGAGTCGTTCCCGACTCTCTGCAGTCCCATGGAGAAGCCCGCCAGGCTCCTCTGTCCTTGGAATTCTCCAGGAAAGAATACTGGAGTGGGTGGCCATTCCCTTCTGCGGGGGGGCGGGGGGGGGGGTCTTCCTGACCCAGAGCTCTAATCGGGTCTCAAGCATGCGGGCAGATTCTTTACCGTCTGAGCCACGGGGAGCCCGTTAATGAAAGCTGGTATTTTTGTTACTAAAGAAAATAATGAACGGGAGTAGAAGCAGGGTTGAGCATCATAACTACCAAGCAGTTGTAGAATCTTTGACTTCCAGCATCAGACAAGTCTAGCTTTGGGAACAGTTTCTGCCACTTTAAAAGTGTGTGATCCAGGCAGCTTGCTTAATCTCTTTGAATCTGTTTCTGCTTCTATAGGATTTTTGTGAGTTTTAATAACATGATATATGCAAAGTGGCAATACTAGTGCCTGGTGCTCAGAAAGCATCAATGAGTGGAAGTTGTTATCTTGGTTATGGTACCTTAGGATGTTCTAAAAACAAGTAAAAGGAAGATGACCAGCAATGTGAAAGGTTTGTAATCTCCATCTCAAGGAGAGCAGACAAGACTGCACAAGAAAACACCTTGAAGATAGAGTGGAGTGATGTGGTAGTCCTTGAAAGTGAAAGTGTTAGTTGCCCAGTGGTGTATGACTCTTTGGGAGTCCATGGACTCTAGCCAGCCAGGCTCCTCTGTCCATGGGGTTCTCCAAGCAAGAATACTGGAGAAGGGTTGCCATTCCCTTCTCCAGGGGATCTTTCCGACCCAGGGATCAAACCTGAGTCTCCTGCATTGCAGGCATATTCTTCACCATTTGAGCCACCAGGGAAGCTCATATGGTAGTCTTCAGTGGTCTTAGTCTTTGACTAAGAAGATAGGCTTGTTCTTTGTGATAGAATCAGGTTACACAAATTATAAGTCAGATCAGCCTCAAAGGGCTTCCTTAAGCTGAGACAGCCTGCCACATATGATCTGATAGAGCTGCTTTCATATTGGAACTGTTTTGAATTGACTGTTAGAGGCTGCAGAGAGTATTTCCACATCTGGCTGGATGGAATTGGGCCTTTCAGAATCAGAAATCTTTTTTATGTGACAAAAGCTAATCTTTGTGGAGGGCATACTAAGGGCCAGATGCTAAGCTCCTTATGTGCATTATTTCATTCTCTCGACAACTTAGTGCTGTATAGTATTATCTGTCTTACAGGGAAGAAAAACAGTATTAGAAAGATCAAGTGATTTACTCAGGATCACACATTACTAACTGGCAGAAGTTTCACACCTAATCTAACTTTGAGCCTGTACTCTTTTATATACTGTAATGCCTTGCCATTTTTTTGTAATTAACAGCTGAATGCAGTTCCTCACTGAATAATTAGCATAGATTTTTAGTAATCTTCTCTTGATGGTTGATTTCCAATGATTTGGAATTATAAACCAGGTTGCAGCAAACGTTTTCCTGTGTAGGTGTTCGTTTCATGGGTAAGGATAAATTCCTGGATAGTACACTGCTAGAATTAAGGGAATGCACGTTTTTAAAGGCTTTGATAAATAGGATAGACAGGCAGGGGAATAGATGATGCCAGAAACTAGAGGAATAACCCAAGTTTTTGCTACCAAAAATTGGGAAATACATAAATAGAATATTTTTCTCCTAATTGATGCAAGTAGGAGAAACCTTCAGAGATGTAACATTTGTATCAGATAGAGCAGACAAAATAAGTGACTTTTAATGAGAGAGTAACACAAAATTTGAACTCCCATGGAATAACCAGGATAAAACTTTCTTACCCTGCTTTCTCTCTCTTTTCTCTTATAGACCCAGCAGGATGCCAACGCCTCTTCCCTCTTGGATATCTATAGTTTCTGGCTCAAGTAAGTCTTCTCTTTGCCAGTGTGGCTCTTTTCTCCCTGCAAGTAGGCTGGGCTGTGTTCTTTGGTTTGAGAAGGTCCTGTTCCCCAGAAGTTAGCCTAATCTGCCTCAGCAGGTCCACCAAAGCCCCAAAGCGGAAGTTACAGGCAAATGGACCAGTGGCTAAGAAGAAGACTTCATCCAGTGACAGCAGTGAAGACAGCAGTGAGGAGGAAAAAACCCAGGGGCCTCCAGCTAAGAAAGCTGGTAAGGCCCAGCAGGGAGTTGTGGTTCCAGGAAGAGGATTTGTAGTCTTCCAGTATTAAATGGCTGATTCTTACCGGGACCCGTATTTTTGTTAAGCTGTACCTGCCAAGCAGGCCATTCTGCTTCAGCATCCTGGAAAGGCTGCAGTCAAAGCATCAGAGAGCAGCAGCAGCAGCAGCAGCAGCAATGAAGAATCCAGTGATGATGAGGAGGAAGAAGACAAAAAGAAAAAACCTGTTGAGGTTTGCAGCTTTGGGGAGGAAAGGAATTGCTTAAGGGATTGGAAAGAAGAAACCTAAAATCTTGGCTTTTAGCCTGGTGGTGGTGGTTATACAACAGCAGATTATTATGAGGTCTTTCAGAGAGGTTGTAGAAATATGAGGTTTGGAAAAGATTTTGTAAGGTAAAAGTTGAACCCTGAATCTAGAGGAAATTCAGTTCATTCTGCATCCCTGACAGTGTTGGGTTTCTCTGGGACACTGTCAAGGATTCCAAGAGTAAGAGATGTTTTGTGGACAGGTGCAGGGAGCTCTAAACAGGGAATGGCAGGAACAAGGCCTAAAAAAGGGAGCACTTAGGGAGCTTGCTTTTGTACCTTAAGATATCTTTTGGGTGCCCTAAAACTTGCTGAT